AAAAAAAAAAAAAAAAAAAAAAAAGACATATTCACACCATCCAGCTTTACAAAATAAACTCTGGTACCTAATTCCAGCTTTAGTTGTCCTCTCCTCCTCTCCACAAACTCTACAGTAAACTTACCGAAACCTGCACTCTCTGCACTCCAGGTTCCCCAACTAATTCTGCTACCAAAACGTTTTTTCATAAGCCTGCAAGTTTTGATGTTCAGTTGTATGAACTACATGATGAAAGAGAGGCACACATTCTATCAAAACCCACCATCTAATAGAAAGAAAGTTCAGTAACTGCTTTAAAAAGAATCTTACCATACTTTCAGTTAAATAATTTGTTCCACCTTCTTCTAGTCTAACAATCATTGCCTGATCCCAAACTTGCCGCTCTCCACGCCAGTACTGCAAAGGAAGGATGAGGCGACGGCCACTACGGCTGTATCTTTCACCTCTCTCTTTCTTCGAAGGGTTTTGCGCGTATGTCTCAGCTACAAACAGAGACAGAAGAGATGCACAAGCTACAGGAGACTCAAGTATATAATAAGCTTCCAAATACAGTAGTTTCCACTCACAATGATTACAGATAACAAGTACTGCTACACAGCAAGTTCTCTGCTAATCTCACCTGATGAACCTTTCATTTCTGGGCAGGTAAATGAAGCAGGTGGATCTATCACCTTCCTTCTCATATTGATGTTACTAAATGTTACTTTCCTGCTGTGTTTTCTGTAGTCCGGATCTGCATTTTGCCTTCTTGACCTTACACAGACAGGCAGCAATGCTGAGCTATCACCCACAGTGAGCTTGACGGAAGTGGAAAAGACATACAAACACTGCACTATGAACAAATCTAGAATAAAAAATAATAATAAAAAACACAGAGAGAGAAACAAAACCAGGGTATGTGAGTAAACTGGCAGACTGTAGAGAAGCACAGAAACTAAAAATGCATAAGTTACACTTGAAGGCATGTGAAGTGAAGCACAGTTTAGACACAATATCTCCCTACTCCTTGTTCACGTAAAAGTGTTTATGTGTGAAGAGATTAAGGGACTAACTGTTGTTTTGCGACACCAGGACCCAGACAATTCCTCACTGGACCTGGATCTCTCTTAATGACCTAGATACACCAACATCTTTTTAACATACAGATCAAGCTACACCTCCAGGCCTGGCAAAGATAATCTGGAACTCACACTAGCATCATGTTTATTTACTTCATTTATGTTTCAAAATGCAAAGCAAAGCCTGCCTATAGAATAAGCAGTATAAAAAGAACTGTAAGACACACTTCCTAGACTACATTTGATAGCTGGAAGATGCTACTGACTCTTTAATCAAGATTTTTTTTTCCTTACAAATTTCCTTTAGAGAAATCAAAGCATAAAACTAATTAAAGAATATAGTTTCACAATAGGACACGAGCTAATTTAGCTCATATTCCCTGCTGCCAAAAAGAGATCTTTGCCTTTTTCCCATTTCCTCCCCTTTTGTTGCCACTTAACTACAGGCTGTTCTGGGTCCTAGGAAGCTAAGCTATAAAAGGTAAGGTTTTGCTTTTGGTTGTTTTTGTGTGTTGGTGAGCTGCAAGAATTTACAGTGCAATCACCTGAATGACAGATGGAGAAGGAACAGGGAAAAAGCACGAACTGCATGGGTGCTTACTAAGGAAGGGAGACTGGTTTTGTCATGATGAGCTGGTACTTGGACTCACAGCTATGTAACCAGAGTTACAGAGAATGGCTTTGTGCAAGTTCTAGGTAGTGCTACTTACGGAAGTTTAAACAGTTGTCAGCCTTCACCATCAGCTGTACAGTCCTGCTCTTATGCCACCACACCAGTGACTTTGCAGCTTAAACCGAATGAGGGAATCAAAACAGCCGGAACAGGCCAATTCCGAAAGATACGGCAGAACTCTTTGTCTTGCTATGTAACAGGCTGGAAAATTGAAGCACCTCAGAAGAGCATACAACATAGCATTAGAGAGGGACACTGCAAACAACGATGTGCTGCAGCTGCCCAGGAAATGCAAGGATGCGCACTGTAAAGCTCTTAAACCACTGGACAGCTATTGTGAGCAATGGCCCACAAAGGCTCTTCAGCTGTGCTACACCCACTCAGCAAGTCCTGCCCGAAGCAAGCCTGCTCAGCCAGGCAAGCGGTGCCAACGCGTCCTTCCTTGCTTCTAACGACGGTGGGCGGTGCGGCGCCCCCACCCAGCTCGAAAGCAGCGACGAGCGCAAGCCGCCCGCCGCGCCCGGCCGCCACGTGGCGCCAAGGGCATGTGGGCCGCGGCAGCGCACCGGCCCGGGCCGGCACTCTGCTAGCCCGGCCACGCTGCATGTCTGCGAGCTCCCCAAGCCTGGTGCCCTACGAAGCGGCGGACAGCTTTTCTGTTCAGCGCCCGGAAGGTTTCCTTGGCCTGATTCGGCAGTTTTGGAGATCACGACTTGAAGCACGTTGAATATAGCTGCAATAAACCTAGGCAATTTTCAGGCAGGAACCGCTAGTTCAGCTGAGTCCCTCTCACCTCTGTCTCCTTTCCGCTGGCACCCGCTGCTGCAGGGGAACGTCCAACAGCGTCCTATTGCAGCGACACCCTCCTTAGAGCAGGGGCCCGGCAGACCCCCAGCTAAAGCAAGTAAACGCGGCGGCGGGCGCGCCCCCCCGAGACCGCGCACGTGGCTTCAGCACGATGCCGCTCAGAGGTCGAGCGGGAAGTTCCGCTGCTGGCGCTGAGCGGGGGAGGGTCTGCCCGCATCACCATGGCAAAAGGGAGGGGCGAAGGATGCCCTAGAAGAGATATACCTACGCTTGTCAGAGAAAACCAAATAAAAACAACATCACCACACTTTTCTTCTTTTTTCCTTTCCTTTCCTTTCCTTTCCTTTCCTTTCCTTTCCTTTCCTTTCCTTTCCTTTCCTTTCCTTTCCTTTCCTTTCCTTTCCTTTCCTTTCC